TTGGACTTCTGAGTATTTATATCATCCTAATTTGTCACTTGGATGGCCACTATGAAAAAATGGGCACCAGTACCTCAATACTGGGTTCACTGGTAAAGCAAGAGGCTCTTAGTCAATATGACTGAACCAAGTATTTCTAGAATACAGTAGAAATTGTTAGCATGATTAAGCAAATATAGCTACTGATCTGAAGAACAATTATCCATAGTTAGCCAAGTAGCTAACTATTTTAGAAGATGTGAAATAATTTATCTCTATGTACATAATAGGTCTAATACGTGTTTGTATCAAAATGACATTAATGAATATCAGTCTGTCTGTCTATCTCCTTTCTATCATCCATCCATCCATCCACCTATCTATCTACTTATCTATCATCTAGCATCTAGAAGAGATCCTTTAGTAGTACTATGAATTTTGCACCAGCTACAACCCAGAAATTCTATATGTGCTACTTACTTTGTAATAACCCTAGGTATATCTTTTACCTTTGGTGGGTTTGAATTAAGCACCCAAACTAGAAAGCTTTAAATCATCTACTTCCACTAGGAGTTTTCCCTTCCCTAATGTTGTTACAGAGCATATTTTTAATTGTCTTCCATTGAAGTTAGGAAACATTTCTAAACTATTGCAGAATCTTTCTATGAAATGGTGGCTACGTATGAAATATATTGTATATGCTATATAGTTCCATAAATAAGACACTGGATGTTCTTTATTTTTTATCTTGATCTGTAGCAGGGTGTCAAACTGGTGGCCCAAGGGCTGGATGTGTCACATGCAGACCATGCCCGCCCCAACTCTGTGAAGGATAAAAAGTCATGTGACAGCAACATGATGCCGCAAGTTTGACATCGTGATCTATAGGAAAGGAAATGAATAGGCAAACGAATTCAAAGTGGTGCATTTTCTAGCAGCACCAGTTTAGAAAGAAAACAATAGTTGTATTCAGTATCTAGCCTAGTTATTATAATTATTATATGTGGTTTTAATTATAGTTCAGTGGGGTTTTTGGAGGAAGAGCTATATGTAATATTTTGATGTATACCAGATTTTCAGGCCTGGATCTGCCTTTATGCTACAGATTCTCTCTATAATCAACCAATTAAAGATTGCTGTGGAGCAGTTTAAATAAAAGGAAAAGCCTACCGCCACTTTTTGAACTATTTAAGTAGTTGAACTTGTCCCCCAGTTTATTTGGGAACGTGAATCACTTTTTCACTTCAAATGGAAAATGGAACATTTTGACCTGGGAGTTGTGCTCTTGATATATCTCAAAGGGCTAGGATGAGTCTGGCCTGAACACTTGGAACCCTGTGCTTAATTTCTTGTGGTTTTGAGGGTCTGTCTCTGGAAAAATTAATTCAAGATGATAGGAATGAGACACACATGTCTTCTGCTTTTCAATTGCTGCAAGGAGAGCCATATTTCATGAAATAAGGTATCTAAATTTGAGTCAAATCTTAAATGTAAAATACATAAAACATTCACTTGTCTTGAGAAGAAGCCATATTTCTTTTTTCTTTTTTTAAAGAAATGTAAGACTTAACTGCATAAAAGCAGTTTATAAAGTTAAGGTTGAAATGAAGTCAGAAATCAGATTAATGTTGTCCTCCAATTTTTGTGGCTGCATTCTTAGTGCCATGTGTCTGGAATTTAAAATATTTTGCAGATGGATGGCTCTTAGAAGTCCTTCATTTTGTTTAGCTCTTATCCTATACTTTCAATCATGGGTTGCTTTATTCGGATGCCCATAAATTTAAACTTTAAAATGTTTTGCTAGTAGCATGTTCTCTAGAGAGACATATCTTTGGCATAATGAACATGAATACCAGCATAAACCTTTCCAAAGAGTGGAGTAATTGGTTGTTAAAATTTTCTGTTTAAGTTATTACTGTGGGACAATTGATGAAGTTCCATAATCTTGCCATGAAAACTGCCAGGACTAGTCTTTGCAGTTGTTTTTAGTTTAGTTTTTTTTTTAGTTTTCCCTTTATTTGTATGCCGCCCTTTTCCCTGGGGGGACTCAGGGTGGCTCACAGTTCAAAAAGGGGGGGGGAAGGACAAACAATTTTCCAACATGAAGACAATACAACATATTAAAAAGAAAACACAACAGTCACACAATTCGAGTGGGGTTAGAATCTTAACCCCAGACCAGCCGGGACAGCCAGATCTTTAAAGCGGCACCGAAGGACTGGAGGGTGGTGAGGGTCCGAATCTCCACGGGGAGTTCGTTCCAGAGGGTCGGAGCAGCCACTGAGAAGGCTCTCCTCCGGGTAGTTGCCAGTCTGCACTGGCTGGATGATGGAATTCGGAGGAGGCCTAATCGATGCGATCGTATCGGTCTAGTGGAGGTAATTGGCAGTAGGCGGTCTCTCAAGTCAGGAGTCAGGAGTCAACATTGGTCTGATGACACACACAAATGTTTGTGCATTCATATTCACAGTTAAGTTGCATACAAACTTATAGAATATATTTTTCATTTTTCTTAAGAAAAAAATTATATCCATTTTAAAAATTCTGGAATATAAACACCCAGTTAATTAACACTTTGGAAAATCTGTGATATTACCATTCCCATCACGATTATCCAGTGTGTTTTACCATTCAGGTGCTTAATTTTTTGCTTGAAATATGATTACTGTCTTGAGCTGTTCCAGTTTTCCAGCTTATTACTATGCGTTTACTGTACTCCCAGCAACGTAATAGCCTCGCAGCTCCAGTCCTGGGCTATGCACAATCTCTACTTATTACTAAGATAGACCTGCTTGGGGCTAGGGTTGCCTAAGAATTAGCTGTTTTCGTGACTTCCTTCTTTGCCGAGTGTCTTTGCATTCTGCATCCATGTTCCAAAATCCTTGGATATCCAGCTGTTTGCAAAATGTCAGATATTTGGAACAGCAAGGTAAGAATTATATCCACATCAAAAATAATGCAATTCATTGTCACTTATGTGCTTTCTAAATGTAAACAAATTGCTGTATTAAGTTATTCCCCCTCCTTAATAGCAGCAGAACACATTTGCTTCTTCAGTTATCAGTATTCATTTTAGCACTTCATTCTTACTGCTCTTTCAAAGGATTGTATTAATCATGTAATTAGCTTAGCTAGCAGTTAAATTAAGTCCTTGCTGATGCCAAGGTACCTTTAAAGATTTTTTTTAATGATACTGTTCATGTCTTCATGATATGCTTACAATAAGCAGAGGTTTGGTTGCTGACAAAAATATTTTTTTTGAAAAGATTGTAAGAGTCAAGAGCTCAAACTCGGAAGCAAGAAATCATATAAAAACCTTTAATAAACTCTGCAAATACGTGAAGGCTGCTTTCTAGGGAGTTTTATTAATACAGTTTTAATTCTGAATCTGTCTGAGCAATAAATTATACTTCTGGAATGGAAAAAGTACTAGACATGGTTTCTGGATTAGCAGTGGAGAGAAGAACATTAAACTCCATTCACCTCATTTAAGTGAAAGGAGGGGGAGGGGGAGATTTTTAAAGATATACTATCAAAAGTGCTACACTGCTACATTATCACTAAAACTTCATTTATGGAACTTTTTGAGATTATAGTAAACTAAAACTGTGGAATTTGGTCTAGAAAGTATGCTCCAAATTTTGGGCTCAAACATTCTAGTGTGGCTTTATATTTCATGGCTAATAGTGTGCCAGAATAACCTTTTTTTCTTCATAATTGTTCTTCATCCTTCTCTGTGTTGTCCTTCAGGGTTACAAAAGAACACACTGTGTGTTCTATGTTGAGACTTTTATGGTCGAGAGAGTTACATTCCAGCACTTGTATTGAGTTATATAACATTTAAAGTTTTATGGGTGCCTGATTCTAATTTAACCAGACACAATATTATTAACATCTACCCTTTGTAGCAGTACCAAGTAGATATTTTAACATGATTTTTGAGGGGATCCTGATGTCTTTCCTTTCTGCCAAGATGTATTGTTAGTCACCATCCTTGATTTGGCATCTAACTCTAATTGTTGCTGTTACTGTATATGACTTCCCTCTGAGGTAAGAGATGACAGCTAAACACATATTATATACCTTCTGGCTACCATTGGAAGGTAAGCAAATAGGGAGAAAAATTCTGTTTTAACACCAGTGTAGTTAAAACCAACTTAAACTTGTCTCATGCATGCAATATTATGGAACTTTGGTAGACAAACCATGGTGATAAATAAGATTCATGATTGTGCCCCTGTTAGTGCAAATTCAAAAAGACCCTGATTTTCAAACAAAATCATAACAGTATCTACCGTAATTTGTAATCTTTAATTTAAGTAATGCATGTTTTCTTTGTTTTGGGGTGATGGGAAAAATCTAAAACTGCATACAGTACACAGGAAATAAAACGAAGATCTGCAGAATATGGTTTCTTCTTATCCAAATGATTAATTTCTCTTCTGGTGAACAGATAACCTTTTATTGATTATATATTATTTATCTCTCTTTTACTTGAGAATCATAGAAATCGATAAGAGAGAAACAAGTGATTTTGCTATGCTGGTTTGTAAAAACAATTCAGTAATGCTATCCCATTATAGTACACATCACATGGATGGCATAATGCCAAATTTGGATGCAAAATGCAGTCACGTGTCAACATTTTTTGGGAATTATGAATTATTATGTTCATGGAAGTACAGCGCAGAAGATGTCCTTTCTATAAAGAAGTATGATTTAATACACATGCGCGCACACACTCTATAAATAACTAATACTATATGACAGATTTGTATAGACCAAACATAATTGAAATAAGATTTAGAAGCATTTTTACAGTTCTAGGTCATATTTCACAAGTTTCTACTTTCTTTTATCCCTACACTCTGCCCAATCTTGTCTGCTTTGAATTATGAACTTTTAAATCATTACAGGTTAATTGCTATTTAAGGCTCAAAATGCCGCTAACTGTTTAAAGATTTTTCCTTACTATCAAATTGTGTATTGGTGGATAACTTTTTCCACCACTCTTATTTCAGATTTTGACAAAGAGAATTTGTTTACGTATAAAACTCCAAGATTACTCCAGAGCAGGAGGAGGACTTTAAGGTAAAACATTCTTTGCACTTCTTGTGTATAATGAGTCAATTTGCAGTGAGACCAAAAAAGAACAGGTTAATTTCCTTTATTTCATGACAGTGATTCGGGAAGAAATTGATCTATAGTGTTTGTGTATAGGATCACTCACACTCCTTAAGAAATGTGTGTAATCAATTGTCACACAAACACAAAATCTTTGAAGGCAAAATACTATACATTCCAAAATTAGCATTTTATTTTGTGATATTTTTGTGCAATTCTCAAATAGAAATATGCCCTGTCCTTTGTACTGATTTAATGTCACCTTGTTGGGGTCTTGCTAATGCTATTTATGCTTTTGTCAATGTATTGTACACACATTAGCATGTGCCTCTTTCAGGTAAATACCACATTTTAGATTCTCAAAGAAGTGGTTTTTGACTTCAAAATCTAATACCACAATAAATATATGGTTTTGTGCAGATCTAAATATGCGCATATGTCATCTCTCCTATGGGAACTGCATTGGCTTCTGATTTGCTCAAGGTCCAATTCAGGCTGTTGGTTACCTTCAAAGCTTTACATGGTTTGGACAAGGTTATTTGAAAGGCCATTTTCTAACCAACTTACCAGAGTGAGGAGGTAGGGAATCTATGGATTCTCTCTCCTAATGAGGTACATCTAGCAGGACCAACAAGAAGGGCTTTCACCGGGGAAACTTCCTCCCTGTACAACATCCCTGCAGAGATAAGATTGGCCTCCACTCTTTCGCAAGGCCCCAAATGATTTGGTTTTGCCAATTGGCCAAGAAGTCACAGAATGGGATGGAGCCAGGAATGATCATTTGATTAGTATCATTAGGGAGTTGGGGATTTATTGCTTTTTTGTTTTGTTCATATTAGGTTTTTATTTTTGTAAGCTACCCAGAGTCACAGAGAGTTAGTTAGGTAGCCATATAAATGTTCATAAATAAATACTGTATTTTTGGAGTAGAAGACGGACATTTTTCCCTCCAAAAAGAAGGTGAAAATCTGGGAGCGTCTTATACACTGAATACAGCCATTTTTGGCCTTCCGAAACCCCGCCCCCACATCCTGTTTCTTGCAAAAATGGACCCGCAGAGGGTTTGGGAGGCCTGCAAAGTGCTCCTGGGTGTTGGGGAGGGCAAAAATGAGGGGAAATAGGCCCATTTTTTCCTTGTTTTCCCCCATCCAGCCCCCAAACACTCTATAGCCCTCCCAAACCCACTACATGCCCTGTTTGTGCAAAAAATGGACCTGTTTTTCACCTTCCAACTCCCCCACGCATCATATTTTTCCCCTCCCCGGCCCCCAGGAGCACTCTGCAGGCCTCCCAAGCTCTCTGCATTCCCTGTTTCAGAAAAAACAGAAAGTCCTAAGGGTTTGGGAGGCCTGCAGAGTGCTCCTGGGGGCCGGGGAGGGAAAAAAACTTTTTAAAAAAATTTACCTCTTCAAAATCTTGGTGCGTCTTATACTCCGGTGCGTCTTATAGTCCAAAAATGTAAATGGGAGAAGAGATGCATACCTGGTATTTTTATATATGACTCTTAAATGGTTAGGCCTTGAAAAATACAGTAGAGTGTTTGCCTTTATTTTGAGATGAAATTTGTTAATTTTTGATACTTTTCCCCATAGGAGTTCAAGGTGATAGCCATCTTTTGAAGAGAGATAAAATGCGCCATGATGACACAATATGATTATCCCCAGGGTTTATGTTATTCACAATTAGGTTAATAGAATGGATGAAAGGCTACATGTCACAACATAGTGAGCTCTTTGTCACAAAAGAGCCGAGGTGGTGCAGTGGTTAGAGTACAGTACTGCAGGCCACTTCAGCTGACTGTTAGCTGCAGTTCGCCGGTTCAAATCTCAGCGGTTCAAGGTTGACTCAGCCTTCCATCCTTCCGAGGTGGGTGAAATGAGGACCCAG